GGAATCCAAAAATGCAATTATTTTGGGGATGAGGGGTGAGGTTTACCCACTTTGGGGTAGTTTTGTACTTTTTTCACATTTTGACCCCTGCCCTTCGAACTGGGGCAACATGGGGGGCCAACACTATGTGCCAATGGAATCTATAGGATCAGGCGCAACTTCCGTGGGATATAACCTATTTGCCCATTTGAGTTTTAAGGGGTGAAAAATGCGTCGAAAATGTTGGGGGTGAGATTTTTTAACTTTCAAAGGCGAATTCAGGGCAGAAGAGAGGGTTTTTCGGGAAAAAAATGTTCATAGCCTAGGGCTAATCTTCGTTTTTAATTGTACTTTGAATTAAAATTTAGATTCAGCCCAAAAATGGCCGATAACGTAATGTTTTTGGACGAAATCAGTAAAAAAGTAAAAAAAAACGTCCAAAAATCTAGAAAAATGCTGATAACTTTTGAACCGTATGACAAATATCGATGATTTTTATATGTAAATTGATCAGAATGAGCTCAGCTTTCCAACGGTTGTCAAATCAACTTGATCCGATCAATAGTTTTTGAATTATGGATGTGAAAATGAAATTGACACTTCATAGGTGCGCAAAATACTTACAGGAAAAAACTTGCAGACTCGATTTTAACGATAGAGGTATGGTTCCTTGGGCAAATTTTTTTGGAATGACCCATAGAACACGGAAATCATAGGTATTTGGTCGATTTTTTTCACTCCCTACAAATCGACCCGCCCTATTGTACGTGGATTGAATCATACAGTGTGTTGCCCACCGACGTGGCCACACTTGAAAAGTATATAAGAGGATGCGTTCTATTCGCATGTCCAACAAACAGTTCTTACCAATTGAAACGTTAATAGTAAACTTTTAATAGTTAGAAGCTAGAAAAATGCTGAGTCGAAGTTCTTTCACACTGCTGCTCATTGGCTTGATGGTATCCGAGGTGAGTCGACAATTTCAGTCGATTTTTTTTATATTTTTCATGTTTGATACTTTTCGTGGACAATTTGTGATAATTTTTTCTGAAATAATTTAAAAAATGAAAAGTGTCCTATTTTCAAGTTCTTAAATTGAAAAAATTCTTCTATTCCAAAAAATTGTCCACCGGAAACTTTTATTCTATTAAAAACAGTTGAAAACTGTTATTAATACATAATGTATTAATCTTATCCGTTGTTCCCATTCCAAATGTATCACTTTGATTCTATTTCCACAGTTCTTAATCGGGGATGTGAGCGGAGCACCACCCGGGAGGAACGGTAAGATTGAAGTTTCATTTATTTATCCAGTTTAACTCTTAAATTCCATATACAAAGCACCTTGTAACGAAGAAATGGGAACCTCATTTGACGACCTGAGAAGAAAAACCTTTCCTACAAAACCTGTGCGCAGAACACAAACACAGAAATTTTTTAGTCAAAAGGCGAACAGCAAATTCGCGAGCGCAAAAACTTAATATATTTACAGCGAGCGCAGAAGTATAACAAGCCCACTAGCATGCAAACTCCGTATAAGTAGGCCTGTTATACTTTTGCGCTCGCTGTAAATACATTAGGTTTTTGCGTTCGCAAATTTGCTGTTCGCCTTTTGACTAAAAAATTTCTGTGTTTGTGTTCTGCGCACAGGTTTTGTAGGAAAGGTTTTTCTTCTCAGGCCGTCATTTATGCTAAACTTTTCATACATATTTTAGTAAACGAAAAAGACATGTATGGAGAGACAGCTCTGCATAGAGCTGCTTTTGCTGGTAATTTTGGACATTTTTTTTTATAAAAAAAAATGTTTTGTTCAATCCGTTTCATTGATCTATGAATATTTTTCATATTCTTTCAGGCAAAGTGAAGGAAGCTGAAGACCTCACCACTGAAGGAGCCGACCCTAATATTGGAAATAATTTTAATGAGACAGCTCTGCATTATGCTGCTAAGAAAGGTAACGTTGAATACTTATTGTTATTGAATAAAAGATTGACCTGATTTTATCCCATCGATCGGTGTTATTGTTCAGGTCACAAGAGTGTCGCCGAACTTCTCATCCGCAAAGGAGCCAATCTTGATAGTGAAACTAATACGAAAGAGACACCTCTTCATTGTGCTGCTGCCCATGGTAATTTTGAATACTCTTTTGGAGTACTATGCGCATTAGTATTGCTTAGCAGCAAGCATTGAATATGCTTCGGCCAATAGACAAGCCACAAGCATATCGCGATACAATACAGTTGACATCACACACAACTGCCGCGCAAACAACTCTCATGCAAACAAACATCGCATATACAGCCATCGCAAGCAACTCACACACAAAACCTACTAGCATATATACCAAGGGGGAAATCACTCAAAAGTAATACCAAATAGAAAAGTAATACCTCAGTTATTTCTAGTAATACCTCTGGTATTACTTTTGATATTTCTATGAAAAAAGTAATACCGAAAAAAAGTAATATCCAAGTAATACCAAGTAATACTGATCAATAGAAGTAATACACCTGGTATTACTTTTGATTTGTACGGAAAGTAATACCAAGTAATACCATTTATGTAAAAGTAATACCTAAGAGTGATTTGCCCCTCGATATATACACGGGTATCATAGTTGTGTGTGATGTCTACTACACTTCGCCAGTGCAGCCTTGACTTTTTTTCACCAAATGGGAAATTGGTTTAATTTTTTCATTGATTCGTATTATTTAAGGTCACGGAGGTGTCGCTGATGTGCTTCTCAAGAATGGAGCTAACGCTAGTATTGGAAATGATTTGAATACCACAGCTCTTCATTTAGCTGCTGACTATGGTAATGTTGAATACTTGTTTTCATTAAATAAAAGATTGATTTGATCTTTTCCATCGATCTGAATTATTTTTCAGGTCACAAGAGTGTCGCCGAACTTCTCATCCACAAAGGAGCCAATGTTGATAGTGAAACTAATAGCAAAGAGACACCTCTTCATTATGCTGCTACCCATGGTAATTTTGAATACTTTTTTCGAGTACTATGCGCATTAGTATTGCCTAGCAGCAAGCATTGAATATGCTTCGGCCAATAGACAAGCATATCGCGATGCAGTACAGTTGACATCACACACAACTATCGTGCAAACAAATGTCGCATGTGCAGCCATCGCAACCAACTCACACACAAAACCGACTAGCATATATACACGGGTGTCAGAGTTGTGTGTGATGTCTACTAAATGGGAAATTGGTTTAATTTTTTCATCGATCTGAATTACTTTTCAGGTCACAAGAGCGTCACTGAAGTTCTCAGCCGTAAAGCAAACGATCTTAATATTAAAAATTATATGCATCACACACCTCTTCATTTGGCATCTATGCATGGTAAGGTTGACTAAATCAGATATCCCGTCGATCACTTTCATTGATCCGTATTATTTTAGGTCACGGAGGTGTCGCTGATGTGCTTCTCAAGAATGGAGCTAACGCTGATATTGGAGATGATTCGAATACCAAAGCTCTTCATTATGCTGCTTTACATGGTAATGTTGAATGTTTGTTCTTATTAACACTTTGATTGTTCTTGGGGGACTCCAGGGCCCCATGGCTATTTTATATTATAACTGGACTATGATAAGAGATATCGACTTGGTGTCTATGACGAAGTTGTAGTACTCAAGCTGCTATACAACTTTGCCGGAGATGCCAAGTCGTTATCTCTTATCAGTTCCGTGAAGAATGATAAGGAAAAAACGCGTTTTTTCGCGGTTTTCTGCGGTTTCTCGCGTATTCCGCGAAACTGATAAAAGATAACGACTTGGTATCTTCGACAAAGTTGTAGAACAGCTTGAGTACTACAACTTCACCATAGACATCAAGTCGTTATCTCTTATCAGTTATCGAAAAAAAGCGAAAAACGCGAGTTTTTGAAAATCATTTTTCGCGAAACTGATAAGAGATAACGACTTGGTGTCTGTGGCAAAATTGTAGTACGCGACCTGCTCTACATTTCTGTTGAAGAGGCAAGTCTCTTACTTCTTATCGGCTTCACTAAAACGAGGTGGGAAAATTTCGCGATTTTCGCGTTTTTTCGCGTTTTTCGCGGAACTGATAAGAGATAAGCAATATTTGTCGCAACAAAATTATAGCAAACCTCGAGTATTACAACTTTGCTTCAGACACTAATTTGTTATCTCTTATAAAAGCCCAGACTTCATATGAAATACATATGGGGCCCTGGAGTCCCCCAAGAACAGTAATATGTTGCAAATATGAAGAACAGTCATAGTGTTAAAGAAACGATTGATTTGATCTCTTTCATTGATCCGTATTATTTTAGGTCACGGAGGTGTCGCTGATGTGCTTCTCAAGAATGGAGCTAACGCTGATATTGGAGATGATTCGAAGAATACACCTCTTCATTATGCTGCTATATATGGTAATGTTGAATACAGAGTTTGACTCAGGCGACCGATATATGCTTTAGCATAGAAAAAATATCCGCATATTTTCTGGTTTGTCCACTCTCAGTATATAACGGCACCCAG